ACACACACACACACACACACACACACACACACACACACACACACACACACAACAACAACACTGCTCTTCCCTCAAACAAACACGCTCTTCTGGAACCCACCAGGGACCCTCCCATGTTGTTTGTATTGTGAAGGGGGAAAAAAGGGGTGCGTGCAGAAAATAAAGAAGAAAACAACAAAAACAATGTGTGGTTGCATTTCAGGTCAGCTAAAACCAAGGTTGCCACCTTTTCGAAGACATGTTCCTCCAGCTTCACGAACAACAGCGGCGCTAATGAGGTAGCTGTAAATCCATCCAGTAGTGTGAGATTTATTTTGTTTACAGACAATTTTTTTAGTCATGTTGCGCAATGTGCCTTGCTGAAAGTAGGTATGCATGAGCTTGTTTCAAAATTTGTCAAATCTAAGTTAAAGCCATTTTTGTGTTTTCTGAAGTCAGTTGTCTGTGGCGGCCATGCTATGAATCTGTAAGATATTTTGTGACCAATTTCCAGAATTGTAGATACACTATAGATTTTATACTTTAGGATCGACTGTAACCATTTAGACAGTAAGAGAATCTACAAGTCTCTACATGTATCTTGCTCTGGCAGTGTAAACACAATGTTTCATATTTTAGGAATGTAGAACTGTTTTAAGGGTACTTCCGCTCATATCCGGTGTGTTGTACTATAAAAGCATTGCTATGGCGCGTAAGCTTAGAGTACCATTTCCTGCGCCTGTTTCAGGTTCTCTTGAATACGTTTCTCTTCAAATCCATAAGTCGTAAATCCATTTACTTATTCATGAGATATTTTGCTAACAATACAAACACYTGCACACAAACACGAGCAAAAAAATTTTTTTTGCTCTGCCTCGGCCTTTTGGTGGCGGGCGATATATTTTCAGCTGAGTGTAGCTGTTTCTGCTCAGCTTGTGTATTCATGAGTTAGTTAGCCTTCTCTTGGGGATAGATGAGTCTCCGGTATCCTCCAGGCTGATGCCATATGTGTGGATTATTCTCCGTGTGTGTGTTTCTGTGCACGTAACACGGGAGTGTATGAGGCGTGTTGTCATTTACACGGGAACTTCCCTGCTACTCGCCTCATACGTGCACTGGTGTTCGTGATTCCACCCCTTCCTACCAGCGACATACATACAGTCACACAGCTGGACACACACACACACCAATAGGCACACACACACACACCAATAGGCACACACACACACCAATAGGCACACACACAGGCGCTCAAGGCTTGTTCCGATTCTTCCTCCACACATCCGGCTGGTCCTTCCCTTCTCCTGCTCCTCTGATCATTATCACGCTCTCAAACCAAATCTGATCTCCCCAGCCCCCCTGCCATCAGCTCCCTCCCCTCCCACTCATCCTAACCCAGATCCCGATCTATAATGGAAGATGCTCGATCATAAAGCACGGAAGCGAGAACACCTGACACCGGAGCCTTATCTCCGGCGGRAGGGTACAGTTTGGGAATCCTGGATGCCATCACATCTGAGCGGTCATCCCGTGTGCGTCGTTAATGTTACGGGGATGGGAAGGAGTGCGGAGGGAGGAGGAGAGGGCTGAAATGAAACCTCAGAACTGTTAATTGCCAAGTCAATTAGCATATGGTCTTGKTGTGAGCGCAGTCACATAATAATGAGGCATAATTTGGGTGGCGAGGGATATGTGAAGAGGCTGGGGGGATCAGTTTCCTCCTGATGACACCCAGGAGGGTGGTGCAGCGAATAAATAACCTTGTTTATCATTGCTGCCATTTTGTATTTTACTGTATATTTTCTTTGTCGAGTCATTTTTTTCTTTCCAAGTCCCCTGCAATTTTAGCACTGAGACATCTACACAACTTTAAAAGGAGAGCACGTCATTTCATTTTTGCACTTTTTTTCCTTCCCAAGYGACAAAAATGCATCCTTATGTCTTGATAACTGGAAACAACCACGCACACTCACACCTACGAACAGCTTAACCCAACAAGCATGTTTTTGGAAGGTAGGAGGAAGTCAGAGTACTCTAAGAAAACCCACGCAGGCATAGGGAGAACACAGAACCCCTGTTCAGAAAGAGTACAGCTGGGAATAGATCCAAAAACAAGCTCYCTGTTATAAGTGTGAACCGCCTCACCACCGAGCAGCCGAAGCCTCCAGAGTTCAGCTTATCTGTTTGCCTACTGACTTTAGGAAAGTTATCACATGCCTTTAGCTGCTAGAAACTCCTTTTTTACATTTAAAATCAAGCAAAGATCCAAAGTAAATACCTTAAAGAACATTTGGTGTCTTAGCCTGTTATGAAAGCTATACTTCTGGGTAAAGAATGAAATGATTCTTTCTTTTTATTTGCCACTAGCAGCTGTGAAGGAGAGATGTCCAAATTATTTCCAACTTGTTTGAGTTCTCTTGGGAAATAACCTAAAATCAGTCACAAATGACACCAGGAACTGACAGTCTCAACAAATAATAGTCAGAATAGTAAACATCAGATGGGATCAGGAAGTTGAAATAAACTTTTTCCCTGAAGTTCTGGACATCATTCTATCTATTTTTAAAAGATTAAAAAATTTAAGGTTAAAATTTAGAGTATACTGATGTCTTTCCGTGTGTGTGTTTTTATACAGCTGTGTTCACATGTTTGACACAACAATGTGTATTTTTCCATTTGCACTTGCAAATAACTACAGAATTCTGGGGGGGGGGGGGGGGGCACACAAATTGATGGCAACATGAAGCTTAACATTTGCTTGAGCTGCCATAAAATATTTTAGTTGATTTTTTTTAAACAGTAGCAACCCAAAACTTCATGAGCTWTCTACAACAGGTAAAACATTAATTATCTATAACTGGTCCACAGAACCCCATTTAAAAAGAGCTGTGCCTTTAATTATAATGATTTATGAGAGAATTTCATAAATGAACTATCTTTATCGAGCTGCACTAGCTTTAACGTTCATYGATGCTTTCAAAGGAAAATAATACAAAAATAGACAATCTCTCATTTTTTCTTGTCCTTCTAATGTTAATTCATAGTGAGCACCCACAAATCAATTATTCTCACTTCAGACTGTGGAGGAAATCAGAGGAGCCTGAGACAGAGCTGACAGCCTGGTTTCATTTATGATTGATTGATGAGCTATTAGGTAACCCCAGACGATCTCAGTGGGATTTCATTTGCATACTTGCTCACTTTTACAAACACTATTCATCTCATCCACTAAACTCACTGTGCAAATAGTCAAGAGTGAAACCGTTGGAAGAAGAGGACGAACTGAAACAAGTCATCAAAATGCAATAATCCTCCTAATCATTACTRCAGTAATTAGACAGCATCTGGCTGTGCGTTACATTTGATAATTATAGGAGGCCTTAATTGTTCTGGACTACTTGCTGCCCGTCCCCGTCTGTCCAGCCTGGAGCKCATCTGAATGACTGCAGCGCTGCACGGTTGCCCTCTCATGCTCGCACTCCTGTAAGAGACACACGCTGCAAACTCTCCACATTCAGATTGGGTTGCCTTCATGCACACGTGCATTTCTACTTGCATTATGAACAAAAGCAGCACGTATATGGACACGGGTACGGAAAAGTGATGAATGAAGAACGTATGGTGTGTGAGGTGCAGGACATTTAAACCCCTTTGAATATCAGTTGGCTTCTTGGCACTGAGGAAGATGATGCCTGGGAAACAGCAGCCCTGCAGCAGAACTGGCCAGAGCTGGATCCATCACCCTGTTACATAAGAAGCACAACAAGAATAAAGGCAAAAGGGGAAGGAGGAAGAAGTTCCAAAATGGAAGGAAGGGGAGTGTTTTTTGGGTTTAGACAGTGGGGATGAGAGGAAGAAGACGCAAGTTAAGGCTGCTCACGACATTTTAAATGTAGCAGGGATCAGGCAGGAGCTCTGGAGGAAGGGCGGCATAGCTGCACAGAGTGGGAGTGATAGAGAGAGAAACTAGAAAGACAGAAGGGTGTCGAGGATGAGACAGTGACAGCATTCTTTTTGTGCTGTGCAAAAGCAAAATGCCCGAGGGTTTCTCTTTCTCCTGTTGTACGAGACTCAATCTGAAGGAAGTGCATGGCGTGCGTACTGTAGGTGTATGTCATTCACGACATGTGGGGTTTTACACATGCATGTTTAACTGATTGCGTTCATGTGACTGTGTGGTTGGCCTATGGCGGCTTCCAGCTCACCAGTCTGCCAAGTCACACTTGACAAGCTGCCCGTGCAACCATRTGCACAAAAAAGGGYAGGAAGGAAGAATAAGTGAGTCAAAAAGTCAGGGGTGCTCAGGACATGAGCTTCCAGCTTCTTGTGCACCTGTCTGGTTTGGTTGTTTCTGTCATCAGAAGGAAAATGTGGCGAAGAAAGACAAAAAAGATAAAAGGAGGAGCAATTTGTCTCCTCTGCCCTTTGCATCCCTGCTCAAATTTAACAGCGATGTGGAACCATCATTATAAGGGAAGAGAAAGAAAAATCATCAGAATGTCAGAAAAAAGAAAGCAGGAGTTAGTCAGTGGTGGTTCTGTGCCACTTTCTTTTTCAGGCCACCGTGCAAAAATATTGGTGAGTCATCACTCTGTAAGTCATGTTCGACTGTAACAGAAAGCTGCTGCAGAAATGAGGGAAGGAAACAACAGAAAGGCAACAAATAAGGAGACAGAAAAATTAATTCTCATGGGTGTAATTCCCTAAAAGATACGCAAAATAGCTTAAAATGATGAATATCCATTAATAAACAAACCCACACTGTTATGCCTGATGGGGTTTCCAAGAAATTCTTACAGTTTAGAAAATTGTGAGCAACTGGGCTTTGGAAATATTTTAAAATAAACAGACCTACATCAAAAGAATTTTAATTAATAAGAACCGGTTTTGCTGGCAGCGTAATTAAAAAAAGAAAAAGCAACTCTCTAATTTGAGGAGGTGAATTTCTACATGTTTTGTTTTATGACTTTTTAAGTGTAGAAAAATGTCATGCACACATTGACTTCTCTACAATTAGACAGAAAGGAAGCTTAGCTTTTTTTTAAACATTCAACAATGATGCAGTAGCTCAAAGTCAGGGCCAGTTTATCAATTTTATTTTGGTGAAATTAACCAGTAAAATTACAAACCAGTAGCTTAAAAAAAGCTTTAAGGCAGTATGTTGTAATTTGCCTGTTGGCTGCTCCCCTCTGCAAGGATCCCCACAGCGAGCAAACTCTCATGAAATATTTGGCAACTGTTTTATGCCGGATGCCCTTCCTGATGCTAGGCTCAAGCCCGCAGGCCCTGAGCTGAAACACAGCATTAAAAGACCATAAATCTCACAAGCAAAAGCAGATCTGAGAGCATTTACTCCTTATATTACAGTAAACATCATTATTTTTCTGTTCCTAAATAAACCAAAATTTCCAGAGTCTGTCTTGTTCTCACGTTCTGCCCTGTTTATTGAACTCACACACAAGAACGAGTGAGAGACCAGGTTGCTGTGTGTCAAGTCTCCCCTGACAGCGTGGCCATGCAACTCACTCTGACTTAATGTTGTGTAGAGAGAACACGAAGCCCGAAATATCCAGTGTCCTTTGTGCGGTATGCAAATACCAGTGCTATTTGTGGAGATTGTTAAATTTGTCATGTTAAAATTACACTGAGGATAAAGCTCCCTGAAACCAGCAATTGGACGTTTGGCTTTAAGCATGAAYAGGAAGGAAAAGTGAGTTGTCAAAGTCGACTGTTTAAAAAAGATTTATTTCGATTGGAGAGAAAGTGTGAAAGCTTTGTGACAGCAACCTGGCAAAGGGACGTGTTTGTGTGCGCGCGCATGTGTGTGTGTGTGTGTGTGTTTGGTACCTTTAAATACACATCAGCCTCCCATAAAACACGCATCTTGCCAGGTGAGATGACAGCACTGATCATCTCACAATTAAAAAGAAACCTTGTGTATCTCGGTGTGTGTGTCTCCCAGTTGCGACAAATCACCCTGGAAGAGGAAATAAACAGAAACAACACAGATTTTTTTTGCGGTGTGTMTTCTTTCTTCTCACTGAGATGCTTCAAAACTTGCACACAACTATTTGTACTTTTGCTCAAGGCGCTGTGTTGTGTGTATTGTGCATTGTCTCACACCTTGTTGGATGCCTGATAGTGAGTCGAACTGCTCACATAGTTTTTTCCTTCACATTTCTGTTTCCTTTTTTTGAAGGGTGCAACTTTTCTGTCAGTTCTCCAGCAGCATCCTTGCTGAATGCGACCAAAACATATAAAGTCTTTCTCTCTGTGCTTTAGTTTCCCTGACCTTCTACGGTGAAAAGTGGAAGGCTGCTGATTTGAACGTTTTAGAGTTTATTGTGTGTAGGTTGTTGGATTTATTTGAAACTGTAAAGGGTATTTTTTTTAATCTTTAGGTATGAGTTGTTGGTGAAGCAGGATGTGTTTGGTTTATATTCAGAGAGAGTTCAGTCGTTCACCCTACATGAACCCCTGTCTTTTGTCTCCTCTCTGAAACAGCAGAGCCTGATTGTCTTTTGTTTCCCAGATAGCCAATTGCTGTGGGAATGACTGACAGCTCGGCTCTGAAGCTTTCCAAACATTTATGACTCATTGTCTGTTTTTTTTCCTCCTCTTCATCATTTCTGTTCTCTGTCACCATCCCTTGTTCTGCCTGTCTTCACTTCTGTTTATCTCTCAGAGATGGCATTTCCACCTGGCCTTCTGCTGCTGCTGCTGACCGTTATTCTTCACGCCAGCGGTCAACGTTTGGCTGAAACAGAGACTCTCCCTACAGGCTGCGGCTGGGGCCTCGGGCGCCCCTACACCCTCCTCTGTGACCTGGACTCCATTTGGGGCGTAGCCGTCGAATGTGTGGCTGCTGGTGGGACGCTGGCTGCCATCTTACTGGCCTTAGTCCTGCTGTGCCGTTTACGCCACATCAGCGAGGGAGAGAAGCGCAGTGGCGTGGGACCCATCCTCCTGCTGCTCCTGGGCATCATTGGCCTGTTTGGCCTCAGCTTCGTTTACCTGATTGAGCAAGACGAGTCTCTCTGTCTGATGCGCAGGGCCTTGTGGGGCCTCCTATTTGCTGTCTGCTTCTCCTGCTTGCTGGTTCAGGGTGTTCGCCTGCACAGGCTGGGCAGAGAGCGTCGAAGCCCAGGCGGCTGCGCGCTCACCGGCCTGGCGCTGGGCTTGAGTGCCGTGCAGGGCATCATCGCAGCTGAGTGGCTACTTCTGACCGTGCTGAGGGAAGGGAGAGCTGCCTGTCAGTACCTGCCTTTGGACTTCTCGTTAGCCTGCAGTTATGTGCTGGCCTTGCTACTGGCGGCAATGACTGCCGCCTCTTTGGCTCTGTGTGGGAAGACACGACAGTGGCGTTGCAGCGCAGTCTGGCTGCTGGTGGCCTGCCTGCTGTCTCTGCTGCTGTGGGTGGCCTGGTTGGGCTTCTATCTGTACGGCAACGCCTGGCTCGGCAGGTCTCCRGAATGGAATGACCCGGCTCTGGCGATAGCTTTGGTGGCTCAGGGTTGGCTGCTGCTGATCTTCCACGCCATCCCCGAATCCCACATCTGCTTGAGACCCCCACCACAACCCACCGCCCCAGACTACTTCGACACATCCCAGAATTCAACACGGATGAGGGAGACAAGCTTCGACGAAGACATCCCTCTTTCTCATCGGCAGTTTGTGGAGAACCAGGGCTACGGCTACAGCGATGAGAACACTGCAGGTACAGCAATACTTTAAAGAGGACAGCCATATAATTTGTGTGGACAGCTTGTAGGAAGAATGTAGGCCAAAGTGAGTAATAGAACACCAAAAAATATTATGCCAGAGAAGCTAGAAATAGGACAAAATTTCTGCTGTGTAGGAAGTGTTTCTTCACTCTGGAGAAAAAGTGAAGTGAGTCAAAATGAGTAATCTCCGTTTGCCGCTCTGTCCGTTTCAAACCAGGCTTGAGGAGCGGTGGCGGCGGCGGCGGTGCGGGGCAACACAACAGCAACACCGGCGCCAGGCCCAGCGCTCCCTTTCGCAGCAACGTCTACCAGCCTACAGAGATGACCATGATCCTGAACGGGGGAGCGGTGAGTACAGCCTCCCAGTCACAGGTACACGCCGCTCACACGCCGCTCTCTCATTCGATCACGCCGACGAGACTGCATGCACATTTGTGCCTTCTGGGTCACGAGTCATTGCACAAGAATGAGGGAGAGGTGCGTGTCTGCATGCCCGTGTGTCTGCCGTGTTTTGTTGGGCGCATGCATGGGTGGGTTTGTCGCATGTGGTCAGTCATCCTGCAGGGATTTTTGTTTGAGAGATTGTGAGGGAGCCTCACTGTGGCGAAAGAACCTGTAAAACTTATTTGCCCACTGAGTAATACAACTGTCCTCCAAACTGTCACGCTCTTCATTTTACAGGATGAGTGTGTCTTCTGGCTGGCACAGGTCAACCTCTTTCCAACCAGCATGCTATGAATTTAGATATGCCACTGTACCGCAAAACACCTGAGACATACAATGGAGGGGACAGTTTCCTGACTAAAACATAACTATTGCTGCTTCTTTAAATTAGAACTAGTTTTCTAAGGAAATAGTAATGAGGCCAAAATGACATTTTAAAATCAAAAAAGCTAATTCCATAATGGTCAGAGGTGGGAGARGTAAGCAATTGTGAATGCAACTCATGCAGCTCATTGTGTGTGAATCTACAGCGTGACGTTTTTCAAACTGTTCGTCATTTTCAGGTCTATTTTTTTCCTCCTTACAGGTGCCCTCCGCCCCTCCCACCTACACGGGAAGGCAGCTGTGGTGAAAGGACGATGRGCAACAGAGAATGAATAGGAAGAGGATAGGATGAATGTGGGTGAGGAGGGTGGGAGTCCAGCACTAGGGCTCTGTCTGGTTGGACTGGACTTTTGGCAGCACCGATACCTGGGGTGCCCTTTCACTCTGTGTACAGACTTTAACACTGACTCTGTGCCAGTCAAGTATTGAATGTGTGTGAGACTGGGACAAAGCAGGATATGGAGGACAGAGCTCAAACTTTTCCTGCACACAATGCACCASAGAAGAGGTGAACAAACTTGAAACGTGTCCAGCAAGAGGTAAAATAGACCCTGCTGACTCAGATCCGAAATGATCAGCACACAGTATTGTTTTGATCCAGTTCGCTCCAGCATTGTAGGCATTCTCGAAAAACTGTGAAATCTATTGCTTCATCCTGATTTAGCTCTCATCCTGTCAGGAAGGATGTGCTTTGTGCTGCTCCTTACAATGCTGGTGCTCAAGTGGAAACATTTGGCTCTGTCCTCCATCCATCCACACTGCGCATGTAGACAGAGCACACAAACAATTGTAAAACTCGAGCACAGCCCTCTTAAAGATTATCCAGCCTCTGTCGGTGTCTATGTACAGAATCTAAAAGAAACGTGTCCGTTCTCCAAAACTCTCGCAATCCAACTAACTCCTTTCATCCAGACTGTCCACTCTGGCCTTTTCCCTCTGTTTCTCTGTGTCTGATTATAACACATCACTCTCTTCACCTTGCGTCATCCTGCCACCTGCATGGACACAATGAAACGTACAAGCTGCGAACTGGAGAGGAAGTGCCCAGTGGTCACAGACACAACAAATGCAGTCTAAAGCACCTGTACGGAGGGATCACATGCCTCTATCGAACTGTACGAAGGAGCAGAGTGCGTCACGATTGGAGGAGGAGGCCATCAATCACCAGTAGGGGCGGTGCAGCAAAGGGAATCTAGGTCAGACTGCTGCGCTCTCCCACATCTACGGTGGCCACTGGCAGCTAGAAGCAGCCAGGAGAGACTGTCACTTTAGATCAGCAGGAAACAGAGCAAGGAAGTAAAGAGAGAGAGAGAGAGAGAGAGAGAAAAAATCTTGCTCTTAGTTCCTCTGTCTGTGTTTGTAGGTGTTGTGATTTTCATGAGCATTGGAGATGAAATTCAAAGTCCAAGTTGTGTTTTCTTTTTCTTTCTTTTCCTTTTAATTTTCACACAACTCTCCGATGAGGAAGAGAACAACAAGAACAACTCTAGTGTGGATGCAGTAGTCACACGCTGAGTGACAGAATATAAATATAGAGATGAGGCTGCGGTGTGGAGATAGTCTGGAGCCTCAGAAAGATCAGATTTACACTGTGGAGAAGAAAGAGGAAGATCAAATACAAGAGGAGAAGGAAGGAAGGTGGGGAGGGAGGCTGACGGGTGTCTGAGCGACAGTGAAGTCTCCTTCACTCAGCTCCAGATCTATGTGAGAAAATGGCTCCCTGGCCTGCCTTTGTGCATGATGCTGGAGCTGCTGTTCGTGTGGTTGTCTTCTTTATCTCATGAAGAAACTCTCCCTCATCCTCGCCTCCCTCCTGTCTGAGTAGTCAGTCACTGTGCCAATAAGAACTCCTGGTTCCACTGGAGTCTCAATTTTACACATTTTTCCTTCATTGTGGCACCAGCTATCACCAGAGGAACTYTGTATATAAAGTAGTGCTGTAAAGCTTTGCTTGCTTCTTTACTCCCCCCTTTAAAAAAGTTGTAGGCTGAGTTTGGATGTCATATGACAAACTTATTATTTTTTTAATTATTTGATTGCTTTATGTTCAAACTCTGCCTTTTGTTCCATATGCTTTTATTTTACTTTTGCTTGTGTCTTTAATTTTTTTAACTAGTATTTTTGGAAATGTTTTGCCAGGACTAGATATATGCTTTTATTGTTATCTTTTTTATTATTTTTGTTTGTTTGATTAATGGATGGATCTTATGCGAGCTTAGATAGATTTATCTTTGTTTTACCTTCTGTTCTCAGAAGAGAGTGGGGGCTACAAACATGCATTTTTAGAGTGTTCAGAAAATGACAATAGCTGTGAATAACTGCAGTAAACAAAGAATAATGTGGTGATATTCTAGAGGTAACTATAAAGAGCAGAGTCAGGTGGGTGGCTGCAGTAAATTCAGTCTCAGTAATAGCCAGTCAAGTGACCACTGAACCTACATCAGCCTTCAACTAAGAAAAGAGCAGGGGTCAACCCTTAAATGCTGCTGTATGTTTATGTCTTACACTCTAGCTATTCTAAAARAGGACTGCTACTTGCGGGCCAGCTGCAAACCCAAACACAGCTTGCCCTCCCACTTCAAGCTATGCTTGGGCCAGCGCTGGCCAGAAACAAATCCATGCAAGAACTGTCCTCAGGGTTTTTGTGGTCAGCTGTAAGTTCCAATACTCAGAGTTAAGGATGGATGTTTGAATTCTTGTGATGTTTTCACTTAATGTGGAGTATAAAAGAAAAAAAAAGATTACCAACATGATGTGACTTTGTAGAATTTGCACTTGTCGACTACCTATCTGTGCATGCTTATCACCATTTCTACATATAAGATCTTTTCTCAGATGTACTTTTGGATACTAGCTCTATTTATGTGACAGAACTCATAATTTCAGTGTAAATCAAATGACACATTTAATGTCTGTGCTTTCAAAAACACAAATGTGAGCTGCTTGTTGTGAAGTAAAGAGATTAAAATCAGAGAGTTGGTCCAAAATAGTATGATTATCCACAAAAGAAGACAACATCTCATCTTCGGTGGACCCAATAATAACTTCCTCTGTTTGGGTGTGAAAACTTAAGCGTAAAAAAAAAAAAAAAAAAAAAAAAAAACAGAGCTGAGCGTGCACGGCACAGCTTATACACCAGTAAAAAAACATACCTACTGTATGTCTTGAAAAAAAAAAAAAAAAAAAAAAAAAACAGAAAAAAAGGTAAAATCTTCCAACTGATATTGTCTCTGTGTTAAAAACCAAGTAAACTGTGGTGAAACTTGCACAAAACTTCTTTGTTGAGTTTGTTGTCTCTCCAGTTAGCCCATCTGAACACCCATCCTTCCTGGGCTCCACACGTCCTTGCCTGTCCTCTCCTGATTCGTCTTGCCTTCAGACTGTTCCAGGAGGGTCAGCTAACAGGGGTAATATTGGTTTTCACAGCTATGACTGTGCAGTGATGCAGCATGCATATGTATAGAAACTTAARTCCTTAATTAGAAAAAGAGAAAAAATCTAATTCTGTTGTTTCTGTAACCAATTCAGGAAAAAAAACAAAGTTCAATAAAAGTGTCATGTTTGTACTTAACTTTTAAAGAAACTGGTGTTTTATTTTGAAACTTGGCTGTGCCTTACTTTGTGTTTGTAAAGGAAAAGTTCTCCTCGTATTATTTACTACTACAAAAAATGTTAATCTAACCAAGTTTTACCATCTTTTATCTAGCCAAAAAGCATTTTTGATCTTGTTTTAACACTACTATACTAAACAAGAGCAGAATGTGTTTGATTATTCATTAATTATTAATTAATTAACTTGTTTTTAGATGGTGATTTTTTTTTTTTGCAGTTACCAGAAGCTACCAGTTGCTATCAGGCTACACTGAAAGTCTGGTGCCACCTCCTCTCCGGAGCTGTGGGATCTAGTTTCAGGTGAACCCAGTGTTGCCAGACTCTGTGGAGCTAGCACCAGTATCAGATGTACCCATCATAAAATGAGCTGTTTAATCATCTTACSCAGTAGCAGCTGTCTACTGGGACACATTTTGGCCTATCTAACACTTGACAGTAAAAACATCAGAGAAGGGGAGGGGTTAAGAAATCCTTCCATCACTAATCTGCAGGGCATTGTCCGAGGTATAGGCTCGGTTAGTGAGGAGATGGAAATATGCCAYAAATGCTCTTTACTCACCGAGTTCAATTGACAAACAGCCAGAACAGGACAGCTATAATTTGGACAGGTTTAGTTTGGCATGAAGGAGATCAAAGAAGCGTGAAGTCAGTGATGCAGCATGAGGGGGGCTTTTAATGTTTTCACAAATGAATGTTTATTAAGTTTTCACAGTTGCGACAGCTGAGAGGATATTTGATCCACAGCATGCAAAAAGCAGAGAGCTGAGAGTGTCYAAATTTAGCCATCACCTAATCTAAAACACACAATATCAGACAAAGACAAAGCAATTATCTGCATTAACAAGCTGATATTTTATGATAAAAGCTTGACAAGAGTTCAAGACACCAACCAAAACATTTGAAATTGTGAAGTCATTATTTAACTGGCCCAAATGGAAGTGCTGCATCCTCTTTTGTGATTTGTAAGGGCAAAATAATAATAAAAAAATCAACAAATATATGTGGTCATCTGGTGAGATACAAGCTGGAGTTGCCGAGATAAAATATTAAGTCTGCTACAGTAGGGTTCCCCTCCTGACAGCGTTATGGGAGCAAAGCTATATGGTGTTCATTTGTTGGGTAAGACTTGTGAAGGGAAACGATCAGTCAGAGGGATTAGGAGCAATGAAATGATTAGACACAAATCTCAGATCGTAAATTCATGCCAGGCCATGCTCTGCTGGTTATAGGGCGTTTTCAGTGGCTTGTATGACTGATCATGTTGGTCAGTTTGACACAGGGGCGCCAGCAGGGTGGACCACGGCCCCCCCTGAGAAT